CCGCTTAGCCACAGCTAGTCGCCATAGCTTCCATCCAGCTCTGCGGATATCAGGAGATCTGTAGGTGTAGCTCCATTCGTACAATGTTCATAATCTGGATTGCTTGCGGCACAGCTCAGATGTTTTGTTGACCTATTATATGCCACCGCAGGACCCACTAGAAACCAAAGGCTTAATCCGAACTACAATGCTGGCTATTCATCTCTCTACTAGCGCGCCGTTACCCAACTCTGGTCAACTCTTCTTGGCAATTGCTAATCATTGTTGGCTCCATGTAGCTTACAAGTAGCCACTCCCTGACTCTCCAACCCTCATTTTCTTGTGCTGTCTGTCTCTCTTAAGTTTCCCTCGCATGTTGATTTCTTCACCGAAGCTGTAGGTATCCAATAGTGGACAAACGTCTTAATACTATGGCTACACCAGCCACTGGTTCACTCTTTTCCAAAGCCAATATCTCTGCTTAGCATCAGTTAGTCGCCATAGCCTCCATTTAACTCTGCTGATATCCGGAGCTCTGTGGGAGTCGCTCCCTTCTTACAATATTCATTCACTTGGAATGTTTACTTTACAGCTCAGATGGTTTGCCGACCTATTATGTGCCACCGTAGGATCCACTAGTTACTGAAGGCCTAGCCCAAACTCTATTGCTGGTCACTCTTCTCTCTCCTAGCGCGCCATTATCCGTCGTTCATCTTACTCGCCTCAACTTTCTTGACAATAGCTAGGCATTGTTGGCTCCATGTAGCCTACAAGGAGCCACCCACTGACTCTCCAACCTTCATTATCTTCTGCCGTATGTCACTCTTAAACCTCGCTTGCCTGTTGACTTCTTCAACAAAGCTGTAGGTATCCAGTAGTAGACAAACGCTTAATACTATGGCTACAGCAGCCACTGATTCATTCTTTCCTAGAGACACTATCTCTGCTTACCAGCAGCTAGTCGCCATAGCTTCCACTAACTCTGCGGATATCCGGAGCTCGCTCACTCTTACAATGTTCATTCTCTTGGATTGTTTGCGTCACAGCTTAGCTGATCTGTTGACCTATCACTTACCTTCACTGGCCTATAGATACACTCATCGACCCTATAGGCATACACTAGTGACAAAGCGTCCGATTGGAATAGCTGCATCTGGCGACTGAGTCATTCCTAGCGCCAACATCTGTCGGTCGTCATAAATTCGGCATTTCTCTTCAGAAGTAGCTAATGGCCATCGGCCCCATGCATATGCGATGATCCAGTGCTTGTTAGGAGCCACCCCGTATCTGATTAACCTCTACTCCTCTAGAATATCTGCATCCAGTCCCTCCGCTGCCCTGCCACCAATTGAGCTTTAAGACTCTCTCGCAGCAACCTATTTATTTTCGCTTATTATGCCCCCCCTCTCGGATTACACTAACTACGTGCTGTTCATGCACCTGACAATAACTACCAACATTCTAACTCTCTTTGCTCTATCCCCACGCAACTATCGACTCATATCAAATGGATACTCGTACCTTACTTACTGGTGCAACGCTCTTGTCCCTACGCAGGCGATAGCAATCCACCTATACGGCTAATGATTCTATAGGATACTCAAAAGACATTTTCAGCATAATTATTGTTGCACAGTGTACATGCTTTTGTCTCCAGCCCAAATGTTATAACACAAGACACTAACAATATTCAATTCCATGCCTGTTCTGCGGTCTTCTCTCGGTTGTCTCCCACTTTCCCTTTTCTCTGAGGTCCGGGACATCTTGGAGATCTGGGATTGGACTGAGGAACAATTTTGCCCAAGACGGACGGAACAACCCACAAGGACTGACATGGAGGATAGTAAAACTCCGCAAGGACCAACCTACATTGGAACATTGGAACATTGGAACATTGGAATGTAGAGAGCAGAAGGAAAAATCCTTTGTCAGCTCCATCGCCTCCCGTTCGTCACAGGGATCAAGGTGGACATTGCAAGTCGGTTCCAATGGAACCGCTACATTGACACAAGAAGCAACAAGATCCGAGTTTACTCAACAGGTAAGAATCCAATTGATGTTTGAAACATTCCTCCGACTGCGCATCAACGACACACACAGGTAGATTATTCCATTCGTTCACTACTCTGGTAGACAGAGTGACATCACAACGGACCCGAAGTCTCCTTTGTTTAAACAATTTCCAATGGTGACCCCGAGTCGAACTGAAAGAATTGAGTGGAAAGAAATTCTGCAATTCAACTCCAAGTTCCCCTCTAACGATACGCCGGGTGAAAATCAAATCCCCGCGATCTCGACGGTAGGCTAGGGAGAACAAGTTCAGGCACTGGAGACGATGCGAGTAAGGCAGGTTTCGTAATTCCAGAACGGATTTAGATCCTCTCCGCTGAACTTTTTCAATCAAGTTGCACTCAAATTTGGAAAGAGGATAAACAGCGGGCAGTCCATACTCAAGAACCGGACGTACATGAGAAGTGAACAGGAGCCTGAAGATCTCCGGAGTCAAGCGAGAGAAGGATCGTCGTATGGCGAAAAACAACCTGTTGGCAGAAGCGACTTTCCTCAAGGTATCTTCGGTCGATTTTAGGTCTGGGGTCACAATGACGCCGAGGTCCCTCTCACGATTAGAGTTCGGCAGCAAAAACCCACCGATATGATAAATTCCAAATGGTTCGGAGGCACCGATCGGAAGAACGGAACATTTATCGTGATTTATGGGTAATTGACACCTGATCGACCACTCATGCAGCGAATCGAGCCTTGTTTGTAGTAAATCAGCTTCATCCAGACAGGAGACTTCCATCCATATCTTTAAATCATCCGCGTAAATCAAACAATCTGCCCGTAGTACAGATGCCAGATCATTAATAAAGACTTTAAAAAGTTCAGGGCCAAGAACAGAGCCTTGCGGAACACCGCTGGTCATATTTACAGGGAAGGAAAAGGCCTCATTTACTTGTACACGGAAAGCGCGGTCATTCAGGAAATCAGTGAGCCAAGAGAGGATTTTTCCTGAAACACCAATACTGCGAAGTTTGCTAAGCAAAATTTCGTGTGGAACCTTGTCAAAGGCTTTACTAAAATCCACAAATACGACATCTAGCCGCTTACCAGCATCCATGGATTTAGCCCACTTTTCTCGAGCTACCAGAAGATTGGTGACACAGGAACGCGAAGGACAAAACCCATGCTGCGCAGCTGAAATGATCTTGAGGTTCTGGAAGTGCAGGTTGAGAGCTCGCTTAAGAATCCTCTCCATAACCTTACAGATGACAGATGTTAGGCAAATGGGCCGATAATTCGTAGGATCTTGCCGATTACCTCCTTTGTATATGGGCTTGACTATACCCGCTTTCCAGGCAAGCGGAAGACGCCCAGCCTCAAGTGAGCACCGAAATACGTGGCAGATAGGAACAGCGATATATTCGGCCACAATCTTGAGAAAAAGAGGATGCAGTCCATCAGGTCCCGGGGAAGAGTTGGGATCCAACTCGCACAAAAGTTTGTATACCACAGTAACATTTATGTCCATATCGCTGAGAGCGGAGAGCAAGGATGAATAGCAATCAACTGACGGCACCCCCGTTGTATAGACCGATGAATAATGGCGAGCTAAAAGATTAGCTTTATCAGCATCGTCGTGGAGTACGGTATTAAGATCGTGGGAATGCAAAGACGGTATTCCACTTCCGGCTCTGGTGCTCCTTTTCAGGTAGGAGAAAAGCAGCTTCGGTATAGACTTGGAAGATTCAGCCAGATGACCTTCGTATTGCTGCCGTTTCGTACGTTTTTTCGAGGTACATACGTTCCGGACCAATTTATAATTGCTATAATCGGTTTCCAACCTCGAAAGCCTATAGCGATTCCAAAGTTTGTGTCTTTGGTTCATGAGCGATCGTAGTTCTCGGTCAATCCAGGGGGGACCTCTAGTAAATGGTTTTCGTTTGGATATGGGGACAACATCATCAATAATGGACAACATTTTCGAGTAAACAAGGCTCCAAGCATTATCGACGTCCAAGTGCTGAGGGAGACTCCAATCCTGCTCGCTAGCGGCCTTCTTCAAGCGGTTTGGATCAGCACGCCAGAAATTCCGCCGATAGACACAGTGGTTGTGAATGCTCAACCGTGTGGTCCATTGAAAGGAAAGTAGGCAGTGGTCACTCCTCCCGATTGGTGGTAAGACATTCAAATCAGAAACATCCGATGGCGCAGATGAAAGCACAAGATCGAGTATGTGCGGCGTCTGACCAGGGATAATGCGAGTAGGTGCCGCGACATGTTGAATTAAATTGCTTTCAAGAACAGCTTCCAGAAATGTAGAATCGAAGGAGGCAGGTGCAGCATCACAGTGAAGAAGATCCCAATCAACATTAGGGGCATTAAAGTCCCCCACTAATAAACAATCCTTGTTTCCACCATGCTTCTTTAAAGAGGCCAGTAAACGATCGCCAGAACTCAGGGGAGCTCTGTAGAAGACACCGAGAAGGAGAGATCTACATCCATCGTGAATACGACACCAAAGCACTTCGGAGCAGTCATCACTTCCCAAGACAACATCAACTACATGGACCTTCAGGTTTTCCTTCCAGTAGAGTATGACGCCGCCCCCCGATCTCAAACCGATGCGATCAGCTCGGGAGAGACTGTAACCAGGAATATGTACTTCGGGATCTGGGATTTCTGGGGACAACCATGTCTCCGTAAACGCCATAAGGTCCGGGTGAAGTACTGACGCAAGATGCACAACTTCATCTAGTTTATTACGCAGACTGCGCACGTTCGCAAAAAGTACGTGCAATCCAGTTGTTGATCTTAATGTCCGGGAAGGACAAGAACTGGCTTCCAGCGCGTTCTCTGCACTTTCCGAACCACGCGAAAATCCTCAATACGCAAATCGGTTTCACCGTTCGCACGGCGAGTTCTCAATTCATCGACTGCGATCTTCATTTTAACGCGGTCTTCCGGGGATAGATCCCGTAACACGTGAAAGGGCTCCCCTTTGAGGCGCGAAGTTCGTCGAAGGATCCGACGGCATTCATCTTCAGTTTGGCATACAACCTTAAGGGGACGCACCTTGGAAGAATCTTCCTGTTTTCTGCCAAGTCGAAAAGCAGAGACGATATTAATCCCCGGTTCCCCCTCATCGAACAGTAGGGAGATCATACGTTTTAGAAACAATTGGTCATCCAAAATTCTCTCTGCTGCTGTTGTCTTATCCGACTCCGGGGAGTTCATTATGATGAGACAACGTTCCCGGTTAGGGACTTTGGCGATCTCGGGGATCCGTGGCTTGGAAGGCGGCTTGTCCTGGAGCAGTTTCTCCAAATGGTCAATCCTATGAAGAACCGATTTTAGCCCACGCTTTGGAGGTGACAATTTGTCTTCCACAGCCTTTGCTATAGGCTTACATTTATGCACCACGGGAATCCGACTTGCGGGAGCAGCCACCGTGTTCTCCTTGACGACGGTAGCAAACGTCTTGGGCAGGGGCTTACTAGGCTGGTCACTAGAAATGTGTGTCTCTGAGGGTGGGGAAGAAATTTGTTTAAGAACTGGCGTGACAAAATCAGGACACAAAGAAGGGAAAGAAGAAGGCGAATTTTGGGAAACAGTCGGTTGGGGATCGGAGTGAGCATTAGCAGAGCGGGGAGTAAAAGCAGGTAAACCAGAATGAGCCCGCTGGGTGTTGACTAATGTAAGACAAGAGTCACAAAAGATGCCAACAGAGGATGCTGTATACATCAGAAGACACTCATAAAAATTTGGTGAGATACCACAACAAGTGATATGCAACCAGCCGTCGCAGAAAGAACATTGAACGGCCTTTGAGCGGGTAGTGACACCTTTACCACAATCCAGACACTTGGACACCATGATGATGATAGGTAGACCAGCAGAAGATTCCGAGTATATTGCGCACCTCCAAGCCCGCCTGAATCACAAGAAAACGGACGAAATCAACTTTTGTCAGAACGAGAACACACGGCGTTCGCTAGCGGTGACCTTGACAATCATCATAACCCTTGTCCAGTATGGAGAACTGGACACATCCTCATACTCCCATACATTATACATCTGAAAAAGCTGAACAGCGGAAAAATTGAAACTTTTGCTCACCTGGACATACAACAAGAAAAATCGCGATGTCCCTCTCCTCCAGCGACCCCAAGAAATCATGGCGACCCAGAGCAAAATACCCGTCCAACTAACAGAGGAAATTAGAAGACATTACCCCGCGAAAAACCGAATGTGAAACCAGTCGTCAAGCGGCTTTGCCAGTTCAACATTAATGTTCAAAATGCTTTACGGCAGTGTTGCAGGACGTGGTGGGTTTTCGCCTGGCAAGCGTTCTCCCTATAAAAAGCCACATATGTCTGTTTAACTTCAAGTTCAAGTTCAATTGGGACCGGAACAGTAGGAAAATCCCGCGAATGTTCCACCTTTGAAAACGTCGTTGATCCAACAGGGAAACCGGATGTGACTCGCCACTGAATAAAGTCACAGCCCACAACTACATACTGGCAAGTCGACTAGATTCACATATCAACTCCACTTGACACCGTTTCAACTATACACGATTGAACCCGGAGTATCGTCGTGATACACAACAGTTTTAAACCTTGATCATGCTTAAGTTGGTGCGTCTCTATGAAGCTGAGAATAAACTATCTATTTATTTATTTTACCACGCACATACCACCAATTTTCTACTATTGCTGTCACGGTTGCCACGGTTCGCAAGCCCCTGGCAACCGCCGTCTTGGAGCCGATTGTACATATCCATAAGGTTACGTCTTCAGCACTAGTGGTTTAGAGTAGTCTGTCGCTAATCAAAAAGAAACCAGTATTGGAAAATGTAGCCAAATTTATCAACATGCTTCAGGGCATGCAATCTATTTGCGTCTGCGTTGGTGGGGCATAACGAACGCTACTTCTGGGGATTGAGCTTCCACGATCATAAGGGATTATTATGCCTCATGAGTTGATGCAGACTATTGTCAGATCAAATAGGTTTTGAGGTTTGGAGAGGGCACTCGGACAACCAGTACGGAATCAGCGACCATTGAATAAATAAATAAATAATTTATTCTCGAATACTTCGGAGAACGTCACATCTCGCATGATCAAGAGATTGTTCCGCAACACACATATTGCTCTGTATGAAATGCGGCGTTCCCACGGCATACAGAAGCTACTGAAATGGTGGATGCACTGGTCAGGAACGGAATCTTTATTGATGTGGCAAAAGCCTGTGTACCAGCGTAATATATAGAGTGGAGACGGTTGGCAGAAACGGGAAAGTGTCTTTTCGGAGCGCGTATCCAAAATATACTTAAATGATGGGAAAGGTCGCTTTGGTTAACTTGCCAATGTGAGTTTTGGACAGTGACCTTGTTCGGTGGCAAGTAACCTTCGCCACACCGCAGTATTGATAAACGGACAAATGTGGCTTTTTATAAGGATAACGCTTGCCAGGCAAAAACCCACCACGTTCTGGAACACTGCCGTCAAGCTGCTTGATAGGTAATGTATAACTGGCAATGTACCTTAAGGACCGAATTTACACTCGGCTATTCGCAGTCAGCCGAGCCCCAATCCATAGCTAACCGAATTGCCTAGTCCAAGTCAGCTAATCATGTTTGAAACAGGTCCAGGAATGTCGGGTGAAAGATTGCGTAGGCGCGTAAGTAATTCGAATAAATGAAATTTGACTTTCTCTTTGTGGTCCTGGCATGAAGGTCGTGTCCAGGTATTCACACTAGACCTGTCAGGTGGAGAGTGCATTTGATCGTTGCGGCTAAATTCGTCCCATCAGGCGAAATTGCGATTCCTCCTACAACTGCAGGATCCACAGGAAGTTCGCATTAATGCTTTTCAGACCAAGCGTACTAGGGCCGAACCCCTGAATCCAAGCTGCGTAAAAGCACAGATTGTTCACAGAAGAGGAGCCATGTTCTTTCACATGTATTATTATAAAGAGAAATTGTCTTCATGTCTACCAATGGCTCTATGATATGCTATCAGTAAAGCTCCAGGTAAGGGAAGTATTAAAATATTCCTTCAGAAACGCAAGGCGCCGAACCCAATTTTTCGAACACCAGTGAAAGGCAGCAAAGCTGTCTATGTCAAGTAAAGGAATTGTGATAGAAGAATCTGTTTCCATAGTGCAACAAGTGACCTAGGTGAAGACCATTCCAATGAGTAAGTTGTGGCAATGTGATTGCAGGACGATATAAACCCATTTGTTTAGAAACCCTGCGTGCCGCATCTCTCCAATTTGCCAGAAGGATGATCCATTTGTAAGGTATTTGGAATCATCGGCATGATAAGTTGCTGTCCCGGAGAAGAGTTAAATTGTTTCAAATCGGCTGGCTGTTGAGGGTGGCTTAGTCGTTAACGGATGATGAACCGCCATAGGCTGGACAACGTAGCTGTGGAATACTCAAAAATGCAAGCAATGAACAAGAGGCAATCAAGCAGACACACAGACTATAATGCATCGATAAACACTAATAAATGGGTGATTGCACACAGTGGAACCTAGTTCCTTGTACTATGTAATTTTGTTCAGTATATTTGAGTTACAGGTGTTTTCTTACATCACGTCACGGGGGTGGCTCATACTAACACTAGAGCGCACGAAAACGCTCCTGTAAAGCAATGGTCCAAAGAGAGCTGAGCGTGTGCACAACGTTAAACGAAAAGTACGAGTACTGGAAAGGTGCATAGATAACTTGGTGACATGGTGAACGAAGTCCTCAATTATCCTTGGCGTAAGCCATCAGGAAACGAGTATCAGCTTAGGTGAAGCTGACGCCAACTGGATTAGAGTGCATATCAAGAGCCATCACTTCATATAACAGCGTACCAAAAATGGAAGCAAATCCGTAGAAACGATGCTAAAGGGTGGAAACGCCCACGATGCACTCCAAGTAAGGCAAACCGGTGGGTCAGCCACATCGAGAGAGGTAAGGTCTCAGAAGTTTAAGCGAATTCGGAGAGCATGCCGACCTGGCAATATTGGGTACGTCATCACATTGGATTTAGATGTACAATAAATGCGGAAAAAGGCTATAACAACTACGGGAGAAGTCGTTTCATAGGGCCCAAGGACCAGATTCCCTGAAGTCAGTGTCAAGAGAAAAGGAGTCGGTGTACCCTTAGAACTAGGCAAAATGTTGGAACCGTATTTCGAGGCCAAGGTTTGCTCAAATCAAGTCGGACTGTGCCACACTGTGATGAGTCAGGTGCCCGTGCTTCAAGAACCTACGCCACCTTGTCTAGTGACTTCGGTGCAGCCACACTACCTGTCCGATCCACGCCTTCGTACTCCATCCACCTACTGAATTCAAATCAGGCCACTTGTAACACTACACGGTTTCCTCGTGCTGTATTGAAGGCCGGGGAGCAGTAAACAAAAGCATCCTGTCGAATCCAAGTGTGCACCAAAGCTTCGTTGCGTAGATTGACTACGTTGGACAATGCATCGCAAGGGAAATAGAACCGGAGCATCCGTGGAATGTGAGCTGTCCCGGCAGGAAACTGAGTAGCCATTGACTTGATACTGTTGATACTTCATGTTCTGTATCACATGCCAGTCGTTGTATTTAGTGTAACCATATGTAGCTAAATGCTAGGTTTACCCATTCGCAAAACTGTAGGTCTATAACACAAACCAAAGACACTTTGGATGTCAACTGATAGCTTTGTTTGCAGTAGGCATCGTGCTCAACACAATGAATCTAAGTGGGAGGAGGTCAAGAGAAACGGTAGGAGATACATTTCAGGTTGAGGCATTACTCACATTTTCTCAAGATTCACACGGCTATTTGATGGCTCGGTGTGTATTGTATAGACAAGACTAGCTAACTGTAACTCGCCAAAATTACCGGTAGCCCTAACATCTGTTCGCATGTGGTTAAGTTTCAAATTGGCAGACAGGTTAGGTTACATTTAATTTTGTGCGCAACCGTGCATGAGTTAACTAAATAAAAAATGAGGTTTTATTACGGCGGTGTCAAGTGCGCCAGCAAAGTCAATATCACGATAGTACTAGCACATATGGTTGGTAATCGCACGAAAATGTCTCAACTTAACCAATAACATGGTCCTTATCCTCCGTACCTCTGTGTGCATTTGTCTGAACTGTGACATCGCACAGCTCCGCCTTTGTGTTGTTAACTTAATCTGATATGGCAACGCTATTCCATTTTATCTTACGACCGTGGGCTTGGGGCGCTGCTCGTGATTCAACCCTACTTCGCTGAAAGTGCTGCAGTTCGCCCTATCACCGTTTCTCCTCCACGTAACTGACGGTTCAGCAGTCCATGTTCTTGCATCACGCGACCACAATAGGCTACTGCTCGCAGTTAACGTGGCTCCTGCCCTAATCTTCTCTGCATCAAACAGTGACATAGTAGAGCTCCGTTTTGAGTGGTTTACTTAGTCTATTGGGGCGATGCTGCCCTGCTTTTATTGCACCACGGCAGTTTCATAGCGCTGCTTGCTTTGCAACCCTAGCTTCGCTGCAGCTACCGCCGTTGGTCCTGTCACTTACCGCTGCTCCTTTTAACAGATTTTTCGGCACACCAAGGGCTTAAATCTCTCAAGCACGAGTGGTTTCGTCACATACTAAATGCGGCCCCACCCCTCACGTTGCTTTTTGTCTATTTGCCTTACCTGTGAGACTTTAGGACTCCAACATCGAGGGATACACTAAATCTGTTCTAAGGATGCTGCTCCATTTTATTTCACAGGCAAATCTAGTAAGTAGCTGGCTCCGCAACCTTATCATCGCTGCAGCTGCAGCTTCTGGTCTAAAAACTGACCAATGCGCGCCTGAGATATTTGTTTTATCATCACCCGTCCGGCGTAATGCACCTTCCTCCCCTTGTTGCACCGTTCCACATATGTTGTACCTAATTTCTGTAAACAATTATTCCTTTCGCAGCTTCAAAATAAGAAGGCATAGACACGCACAAGATGCCATGGCAATATATGCACATACA